TAGAGGAAAAAGATAGATTATCATCACCAGCACTGTGAATGGGGTTAGCAATGGGAAGAGTGGAGACTGTCTGAAAGAACAGAAGAACAGAACAAGGATGCACCCTGGTTGTATTGGCAAAGTTTTTTTTTTTTCTTTTGCCAGTCTTGCTCTTTATTGCTCTTCCATTAGGCCTTGACCGCATACTCGTGTAGCAGGTACAGCCGGTCCTTCCCATGTTGCTTCTTCGTCTTCAGCTTCTCCTCGTGCTCGGTGAGCCAGCAGCGCATGGCTCTAGTTTTCTTGGGTCGCAGGTCCAGAGGCTTGTACTTCTTGCCCTTGTAGAATTTCCTGAGGCTTTCCTTTTGAGTCCGGTTAATGACGGTGAGAAGTAGCAGGAAGAATTTTAAAGAGAAGGTTGTGAGGGTTGGTGACCCTGGGTGGGTTGGAATAGCCGCCCGAGGTGGAGGTCCTGACCTAAGTGGTAAGCACCAGAGGGCTTATGCACAGGGAGAATGGGAGTGTTGCAAGGCAATTCCATAGGGACTCATAGTCTCTGAGGTAAGAGGCGGGTAATAATAATGGGTCTGAGGCCTTGGCAATAGTTTTCAGAAATAGGAAGCTGGGGTCTGGAAGGGAAAAAGGAGGCCAACTAGGACTGGCTGGTGGTGAGTGACAACCACCGGGGTGGAGATATCCCATACTTGGGGTTGCCTGGATTGGGCACTGAGTTGGGGGAGGGGGCTGGGAAGGTGTAGTTTGGGGTAGGGTCCTGTGAGGCAATTTAGGTAAGAAGATGGGTGTCATAAGAGAGTGTGTTGGCCAAGGTGGGTGTTGGGCCAAAGCAGCTGGGGATATTGTGGCCAAGTAAAGGCACCAGGCAAATGGGCATGAAGAGAAAGGAGTGTGAGAAGAATCCTCCTGCAGGAGTGCAGGGAAGTGGCAGGGTCGTAGGCAGAAAGGAGAGCCCCCTCCCCCATGACAGAAATCGTTGAGGGAATTGTGGGACCCGAGTGAGAGGTCAAGACAGAAAAGGTAGCCTCATGTCCACCAGGAAGGTGGTATATTTACCCACTACCTGGAGCATTGTCCTAGGCAAGGGTAATGGGAGTCTCTGAGTCTGGGTTCTGTAGGTTTTCCACCAGACTGAGGAACTTGAAGGCTGGAAGAGTCTCAGATGCCTGTACTGGTGGAGCTGGACCTCTGTGGAAAGGCATAGAGTATGAGCCCTCATGGGAGCATTCTGACTTCTAGTGGCCAGAATGCTGACAGACAGGGCCTGGCCTTGTTGGTGGCAGAGGGTTGGCCAGCTTCAAGATCAGCTACTTTACTGGTTGCATTTGAAGCAGACTTCTGGTGGAGTTGACTTTGGCTGGGTCCCAGCGGGATGGAACCTTGCAGACGTCCTCTGTCCCCTCTGTTGGAGTGCTGATGGCCTCAGGGCAGCTGCCAAGGCATGAGCTTGGAGCATAGCCTTCTGTTGCAGCTGAGCCTGCTGGGCAGAATCACCAGACTCCCCTCAGGTGTTAAAAACATTTAAAAGGCGTTTTCACCAATTCCTGCATGGTTTTTGGGGACCATCCCCAGCCTTTTTTAGTTTCTAATATCTGGTGCTGACCGAGAGATGAAATGGGTGGCCAGGACAGTGGCTCCTGCTAGGGAGGCTGGACCAAGGCAGACATGGTCGCCTGTAATTGATTTAGAAAAATGGCTGGATTTTTGTCAGTTCACGATGTAATCTTGTGTAGCCTGTCAAAATTAAGAACTTTGTTTGAGACCATCTCCATACCCTGGAGGAGGCATCGGACCATGAGGTCCCTTCTCCGGTGGCCACTTTGGATGGGGACTAGTGTGAAGGTTGTGGCAATGAAGAAGGGGGAGGAGCTAGAGAAGAAGGAGGGACAGTAGGAGGAAGGAGAGGGAGAGAGGAAGGGGGAGGAGGTTGGCACTTGACCTTTATCTGGGAAGGGGGACAAGGGAAAGGGGTGGGTGAAAGGAAGAAGGTTGGCCACTAAGTGGAGCACATGGTGGTACAAGACGGGGAGAGGTAGGCAGGGCTTGGGGAAGGGGCGGGGATGCCAGTGATTCAAGTGACTCTGTCAGTGCTCAGGGTTCAAGTCCCCAGGTAAATGGGGGTCTGCAGGTGCTGCAACTCTAGCCAGCAAGACCTGGATCATTGAGCACTGACTACAGAGATGGATGGGAGTGCAGAACCCAACAACTCTGGATGCAAGGGAGTTCAGACCACTTGTCTGTACACTGGTAGGAATTCTCTAGATCACGGAGGATGTTAAAGTCAAGAGTCCCCTTTGGTGGAACTCTTGGCTGGTTATCAAGAGGATACTGAGGCCGGGGCACAGAGCAAAAGGAAATGCAGTGTCTTGGACATATGGCGTCAGCCCCCAATTTGGATCTACTTTGCAGCAGACACCCCAGGGGTGACTGAGGATCAGGTTTACATCCGGCGTTGCCTATTTCCAAGCCTGTACTGGAGACTGAAGACCAGGGTGAAGTCTCCCTAGATGGCCTGGGAGTAGCCTTCGGGAAGGACATCTAACACAACAGTCCTCCAGAACAAAGATGGGTTCTTCTCCAGAAACGTTCAATCCCAGGTTTTGGCACCAAGATACTAGGTTTTCTGTATCTCAATAAAGGTTTCTCTGCCAATATGGTAAGCCAGATCAAATTGAAAGAGTAAAAGAGAACAGGTTTATTTGAGCAGAGCCACTGCTGGGTGAGTCCTCCAGTCCGAGATGGAGGCAGAAGTCACACGCCCGAACTAAAGTGGAAGCTTTTGTAGCCTGTAGGTGAGGGGTGATGACGTGCCTGCCACAAGCTGGGTTTGTATCCAAGGATGGCCAAAAGCTTAACACTTTAGGCCGGTGCTTGGGCTCCTGACCGCCTCAGGGAAGGAGCTGTCATGTCGCCAAGTATGTGGAATTGGGGGCTTTTTTGGTGCCTCTTCTTTCCTGGAGATTTTCTGAGAGGGTGGGGTTTGGAGAGAAGAATGGGGCTTTCTGGATCAAGCAGGAGTGAGCTGGCGGTTCTAGCAGAACAGGCAGCATATGCCTGCACCAGCTCTGGCATTGTCTTTGCTTCCGCAAAGGAATGCTGGGTTCCTGTATTCTTGGGTACGCCCCTCTATTTAGGTGCCTAGATCCCCAGGCTCTGACTGGCTGGGAAAGTAAGCCTGACAGTTTTACACTCACTGTGGTGGGTAGGCCCCTTTAAGGTGGGGGAGTTCCTCAGAAGGAGGAAGAGATTTATTTCAGAAGCAGATGGGTAAAAGGATATTCGATGGAATTGTCTCTTTCTGTGTGCATAGGCATGCATGTGAGCATGTGTTTACTTTCCTTGGGGGTGTTTATTTCATGGGACACCTTTCTAATTCTGTGGGGGTTGATAATGGGAAAAGAGAATTCGTCCTGCCTAGTTCTTTCTTTTATAATAAAAGTGCTCCTTGGGACTGGGATAGCTTAGTGCAAGCATGAGGGCCCCAGTTCACCCCCCACCACTCACATAAAAGCAGGGTATAATCCCAGCGATGCAGAGATGAATAGAATCCTGGGACTCCCTAGCCAGCTAAACTAGCTTAGTTGAAGAAGCCAGCCTCAGGTCCCACTGAGAGACCCTGACAGGAGGGAGTGAGGGAGGGGCAATGGGGGCGGCTCCTGAGACACATCGGAAGTTGATCTTTGGCTTCCACACCCGTTATGGGCATCCCCACGCAACTGCACATACATGTGAACGTGCCATTGTGTGTGTCAATCGTGAGAACTAACACGTCTTTGAGGCTTCCTTTAAGCTTGATTGCAAAGCTTCCTCGCATGCACTCAGAAAGAAGCAGCTCACAGCAATCACTTTGGAGATGCGGACCGTGTTTACTGACTTCGCAGTCAAGCCAGCGTCTTGCAGCCTGCCAAGTGACTCTGTTGTGGAATATGCACTTTGACTTTTGTTCTGATGGGGGACTGAGACATCCTTGCCTCGTTGTGCAGGAGACACAAAGCTGAAAACAAACTCAGTATGTGCGAGGCCGTGTCTGAACCGAGAGAACACGGAGGCACAGCTCTGGCTCTTTGGAACGACTCCATTCGTTTGATAACTGCTGGGTTAAAAATGGTGTCACCACTGGTTACTTCTAGCTGACAGGTGTCGCTCTAATTTACGTTCCTTTCCTTGTGCCCAAGAGGGACTAGACTTCAGAAAATCATTGGTTGTGTGTGAAGAAGGAGGCAGTCCATTTCAGGCTCTGCTCTGCAGGTCGATAGGAAACAGGTTGAGCTATGAAAGAAACAGCAAGCTGAGTGATTCCAGTCAGAGCCACAATGGGAAATGAAGGCACCTGCCTGTTGCTTAGGAACGGCAATGCCATATGCTTCTGCAAAAGAGAAACCAGGTCATTGGCTGTTGGAGTTCACCTGTGGGTCATGCAAACAGAGCTGAAGTGAGCCCTCTTTTCTCCTGGGCTTCTGGTTTGCAGGGGATCTTTCCCTGATTAGGCTTCCTCCCTTTTTTCTGCCCAGCAGTGAACTGCTCTGAATGCATTATTCAGAACAGAACCATTCCAGTACAGAACATCTGCATTAACTCAGGAGTGGGGGAGGAGGTGACAACTGATCTTCAGGAGCTGGCCATTGATCTTCCTTGACAACGAGGCCATGCGAGTCTAGATGCTGTGTGATGGTTGACAGCTATCACCCTCATTTCCTCTCAGGGGGAAGGTTGTCATCCACAGATTCTCAGGGTCCCACAGTTAGATCTGGAGTTAAGGAGGGAGACAGAAGCACAAGGAACCCCCCATATTTGTACTAAGGAAGGAATGCAGTATATAACCTTAGCTATGAATATCAAGCTATTTAGGAACCTTGAGAAAGCCACTCCCAGTGCTTGCCCCGACTTTCTCCTGGTCCCTGCAAAAATACTGAGTCATTAAGTCTGAGTGGAACTTGGCCCTTCCTTGAGGGTTTACAAGTCCATGTAATTAGAGCTTTAAATATCAGTTCTACTTTCTCAGTACCCAGCCCCTGCTGGAGTGTTGTGGGGCAATCTTGTGTGAGGTTCCTGGGCACTCTCATTCCTGTTGAGAGTGAGTACTTGCCCTTCCTCCTGTGAAGTCCAGTGCCCCGCAGCTTGTGGTTCAGCGGTGGATTGGGGTCTTCAGATGTCTTCAGCACAGTTTCCCCATCAAGAGTACTCAGAAGGGGAATTGAGGCTTTGTGGTTTGGACAGAAACTGAGTGGAAATATCTAGAAGATAACCAGATGAAGGGAGCTATCAAGAAGGGCCATCTTTGGGTGTCTCTCAGTAGACAGAATGATAGATGCAGAACGTTCCAGACACAAGGGTCCTATAATAGATACAGCAGGCCTGAGCAAAGTCCTGGAAGGTATGGACATCCCTCAGCTCTCTTCGTGGTTCCTCAGTGAGAAGACAGGCAGCTACGGTGAGTCTGCTGTAGTATGCAGAGCTAGCGGAATGGAATGAAGTTCTTACTCTTTCATGACAAAAGAAAGTGATTATTGTTACATTTGAAATGAAGGTGATTGATTATACAACCTTTAAAGCATTTCATTATAGCATTGGGATCAATGCCCAGCCTTTTTTTTTTTTATTCTTTTAGAAACCCACAAGCCAGAGACAGTTATTTCTTGGCTCTTTATTTTTGCTCAGTTATGTAATGTCCCTTTGTGGGAACATCAGAGTTGGTCCAGAAATCTCATTTTAAAGGACTTTGAGATGCAGACTTGTTGTGTGATGAAAGGGCACCCAGATTTGCATGCCTTCCAGAGGCACGGATGTGACTGAAGACTAATGGATCTGATTTTCAGTTGTCCCTGCTGTGAAATCAATCTCAGGGGCTACACAGTCACCCCAGCAACAGACTCGGAACGCTCACAGCGGCTTGCCTGGTCCAGAGACTTTCATCTGAGAAGTAAGAAATTTCAACTAGCTTCATGCACAAACCTGGACCTTTAAAGCAATTTGATTGTCTGGTCTTTTTTTCCGCCACCCCCTTGCTTCCCTTCATATCAGCCCGGAATTCCAAATAAACTCGTAACCTTCCTATCCTTGTGTGCAGACAAGGATGAGTCCAAGAGTCGCTAGAAAGATTTTAGCTGTGCCTTTAGTGGAAGGCCCAGAATGACCAGGCAGGAGGTGCCCAGGGTGGCACCCAGGAGCTATTTAGAGGGCGTATCTAGAGGCTGTATCTGCGCACCAAGCGTAGGTGCTATGTACTGCTTACTTACAAGGATTAGAATTCTGGCTCAGAACCTCCAGATCTCACTCAGTGCCACCACCTGAAGCTATTAGCAGTTCCCTAGTCATCATGGGATACCCCACCATTGTTTCTCTCTCCCTCCCCCCTCTCTCTCTCTGATAGAGTCTCACATATCTCTAGCTGGCTCTGAACTCACTATGTATGTGAAAATGACCTTGGATTTGTGATTCTCCTGCCCCCATACTCTGAGTGCTGGAATTACAGGTGTCAACCACTGTGCCTGGTTTATACAGTCCTGGGGATTGAACTCGGGGCTTGCTTTATGCTAAACACGCATGCTACTGAGCTACCCTCCCAGCCCTTGTTTCTAGGTCCTCCTCTGGTTTCTTCATGTGAGTCGGTTTCCACGGATACTCTTGAGTGTTTGAGGAAGAGACTAGTTAGCTTTGCTTCTTAGGATGCCTCTCCAGCAGCCAGAGCAATTTTCGTAATTTTTTTTTTCTAATCAAAAAACAAAAAGAGAGATTTGCTTCTTCTCTCTTGTACTTGACCTCCAGGTTAATAAAGTGCATGGCGGAGAGGTCATAGCTGCCCAGAAACGAGGCTTCTTTCCCTCTCGCTAACGTGTCATGCACTCCTGCGTGGCTTCATTTTGTGCTCCTGTCGACACTGAGAGCTTGACAAAGGTCTCTCTCACCGTTGTCTCGTGTTTCTCCCATTTTATCCGTCTCAGCACACCGTGGTCAACCTGGTGGCATGCACCTTGGATCCCAGCACTCGGGAGGCAGAGGCAGGTGAATCTCTGTGAGTCTGAGGCCGGCCTGCTCTATATAACAAGTTCCAGGCTGGCGAGGGTTGTACAGTAAGACATTGTCTCACACTGACAAACAAACATTATGTGGTCTATAATTTTGTGGCCCTACACAATGGTCCTTTGACCTTTGCCTTTTATCAACCAAGATAGTGGTATCTTTGGTTTAAAGAGCCAGTTCAGCTCACCCCATCTTTGCCCTGTGTGGTCCTGTTACCCCACAGACTGATTTATCCACTAAGTTCTCACATTTTAGTTTTGCTTTTTTGAGACAGGGTTTCTCTGTGTAGCCCTGACTGTGCTGGAACACACTCTGTAGACCAGGCTGGCCTCGAGCTCACAGAGATCCACCTGCGTCTATCCCAAGTGCTGCGGTTAAGGGCCTGTGCCACTTCGCCCGGCTCAATTCTCACATTTTCACCTCACTGTTTTCTTTTTTAGTGTAGATTCACTTCCTAAGTACTTAAGAGGCTAAATGTTTCCTATATAAAATCCATGTGTGTTCATTCACCTATAAATTCCTGACATAAAGCTAGTCCCCGGCAATCTTGCTGCCCTGACTCAGTATATTTATATTTATTCCTTTGCTTGTCAGAACAATTACTCTGTCTTCTCTCATCCCAGCTTCTTGGCCTCAACTGATGACATAGTCCCAAAATTTATTGCAGAAATAAAAGTAGTAAGGCAGGCTAAATACCCACCATCAACTCTAATAACCCTCCTATATTTTTATCTGTATTTATTTCTCACTTCTATCTGTCGACAGCATGTCTGTGTTCCCATCAAAGGCTGTTTCTGTTTGTTCTCTTTTAGCTCCCCTACAGATAACCAAGCACACACCTTCCGCAGCTCCGTTCAGTGATGGCTTATGTTTGTTGGCCTGACGCAATCATGAGCAACTAGTGCTCCTTGTACAACTGAGTTCCATGTGACAGTCTCTTTGTGGACCATATAGTCTTAATTCCTATGCTAACACTGCCTTTCCCGGTTCCATTCTAACTAATTACGTAGCTTGGTAGTAAGGCCCGATACACAGACAGGATCATTCCTCTTATCTTCTTCTCTTCTATGTGATTGGCTTTCCTTGGCCCTTTACTCTTTCATATGCATTTTAGGATCAGTGTGTCACATTCTACAATATCCCATTATAGTGTTGGTAAGATGAACTCGGGAGGAGCTGGCTTGTATAATCAAATCTTATTCATGCATACTTACTGCTTATTAGTTCTCATTTAATATCTTGCACTGAAATGTCACCATTTTATGTATCCAGGCCAAACGGAATGAATACTTATTAGATATTGCACTTTTTGTTTATTTTGAATGCTATGTTATTAAAAATCATGTCTTCTAGTTTTTCATTTTTGTGCGACTGGTTTCATATTGTTCTTATAGGCAACCCCTTCATGAACTTTCCTTTGAATAGTTTCTAAACCTTCCAGTTTCTTTTGTAAGCTGTTATCACATCTAAACAAAAGCATTAAAATACCATGCCTCGTTCCCCCCTTCCTAATGCTTCTGCTTTAAAAATCCCTTTCAAAATGAACAACAACTTGACTCGTGTCCTCCCTCTATCAGAACCTCCCCAAAGAATCATTTTTTTTTGCCTTTAATATGTTTTCTTGCCATGTTGATGTGGCTTACATAAAGCCTTCTTTGTCAACATCTTCAAATTCTCCCCTCTTCTCTGGCGTCCTCTGAGAAACATCCAAGTTTTGCCGTTGTCACACACCTTATTAGACTCTCCCTTGACTTAGTGTCACTTTCTTGCCTCTGGCTACTTCATTGTTCTTCTTGGTGACACACTTTGAGCAAGTGTTCTATAGTTTCCGTCCACTCTTCTTCCCTTATAGTTTTCTTTTCAACCCATCTTATGTGGCTTCTGTTCTCAGTGTTCCATTGAAGCAACTCTTGTCAAGATGATAACCACTGTCACGTGGCCATCTCCACTAAACATCACCGCTAATTATTCTCTCTATACGTTAGAATCATCTGATGAAATGGGACCCGGCCAATCTTTAAATGCCTCATTTTCAGGACCTTCAGTTTTCTATCTGTTTGATTACTGGTTTAATGTCCTCCTTTCTATATAAACTTAAGTTGCAGTGTTTTCATCACTCTAACAGCTAGCCTGGCAGCCGGTTGATAAGCGATGGTTGAGTCTCATGGGCATCCGTCACTCCCTTCCCCTATCTACTTGCTATTGCAGATTTATCTTACTCTACAAACCGTGCTCCACCCATGTTCCCACTTCCAGCATATACTGGTACAATCTATAAGATAGAAACCCCACTCTTTACTCTTCCTCATCCAATCCTGTCACTAGTACTTAATCACACCATGGACCAACCTTTTCCAAATCCACCCACTTTCCCCCCCCCCTCTATTTTCACTCTTCTGCTAAGCCACCTCATTAAGTGACTGCAACAACTTCTGGACTCTTTTGATTCTGAACTCTAGTATAACTTTATTCCAGATGGCTTTTTATATTAGTCATGTAGGTTCTTTTTAAAATAAAAATTTAATCATATAACCTTCTTGTTTTAGTTAGGGTTTCTATTGCTATGAAGAGACACCACGACCACAGCAACTCTTATAAAAGAAGACATTTAATTGGGGCTGGCTTACCGTTTCAGAGCTTTAGTCCATTATCTTCACTGTGGGACATGGCACATGCAGGCGACATGGTGCTAGAGAAGGATCTGGGTGTTAATTTATCTTGAGCTGTAGCAACAGGAAATGAACTGTCTCACTGGTGTAGCTTGAGCATAGGAGACCTCAAAACTCCCCCCTCCCCAACAGTGACACATTTCCGTCAATAAGGCCACATCTACTCCAACAAGGCCATACCTCAGAATAGTGCTGCTCCCTTTGGGGACCATTTTCTTTTCTTGTTGCTGTGATATGCCAACATATCTGGGGAAAATAATGCAAGGAGGAAAGGGCTTACTTTAGCTCACAGTGTGAGGGGACGGTCCATTATGGTGAGGAAGCCAAGCAGTAGAGCTTGAGACAGCACATCTCATTGCATCAGCAGTAGGAAGCAGAGAGCAATGAAACTGGTTCTTAGCTCTTCCTTACTGTACTCAGTGTCAGATCCAGGCCATGTCATGGTGCCACCTGCATTTAGGGTGGGGCTTCCCACCTCAGATAACCCAGTCTAGTAACTCTGCTATGTAGATACGCCAGGAGCTTGTTTCCTAGTTATTTTAGAGCCTATCAAGTTGACACTCAGTATTAACCATTGCAGATGTTATCCCATATAGCATACCCCAAATATAAAGTAGACAGCGTAAGTTTGAGCAGTGCAGCATGTTGCTGTACTATTGAAGAACCACCATTTTTCCAATTCTGCAAGACAACCATTCCTTTTATACTCACTGACCCATCAAGCACCTTTCTCTCTCTGCCCTTATTTTTTCTTCTCTTTTCCTCCTCTTCTCTTTTTCTTCCTCTTCCACCTTCCCTTCCCTTTTTCCTCCTTTTTCTTTGAGACAAGACCTCACTGTGTAGCTCTGGCGTGCCTGAAATTTGCTATGTGGATTCAACTAGCCTTGAACTGACAGAGACCTGGCTGCCTCTGCTGGGATTAAGGAATGCTAAAAACATGCACAACCCTGCCTGGCTGTCACCCTTCGCTTTTCTTCAGACTGAAGCCTGAAGTCTTCTAGTAATAACGGGCAGATCTGAACAACTATTAGAAGGAAGTGTATAACCGTAGCTAATTAGGTGAGATGATGATCTATCTACCTTGCAATTCATCAATATAAAGTCTTGTAAAAATATTAAAAGGAAAACCCCTGAAACTCCCTTTGCTAATGTTAAAGATGGTTTATAAAGCCAACCTCAGGTCTGGGAAGACAGCACAGTTTGCATGGTGAGGACTGAATTTGACTCCCCAGCACCCATATTAAAAACAAAACAAAACCTGCCATTAACTCTACCAAAACCAGGAGAATGACATATTCTTATAATTTCATTGCTGGGAGAGCAGAGATAGGCAGATTCCTGGGCCTTCTTGGCCAGCTAGCCTAGCCTTCTTGGTGATCTCAAGGCCAGTGAGAAGTCTTGCCTAAAGAAAAAGCAGAACAAAACAAAAGCAAACCCAGTCCAGGTGAGGGTGATACCCAAGGTTTTCCCGTGGCGTGCATACCCACAAGCACACCCGTGCACCTGAACACCCTTCTCCCCAAACTTGTCACCTCATCTTGCCTTACTTCCTCTCTTAAACACAGATTTCAGCTGAAGCCATGCCTTCTGCCATTACTAAATGACTCTGGACTTCAGTCACTGATAATAAGATGGGAACCTAAACACAAGGGTTAAGCAGCTTTTTAAAACACAAAGACAAGCAGCTTCTCTCTTCCGTTGGCTGATGTCCTAAGCAGTTGCTTACGGGAAAACCTGACCAGTTGAAGGGCATGGTGCACAGGTTCTTTGTCTCTTTGATTCCATGCACCGTTTTTCTATCTGAGAGCAACACGGTGTGACTATTGTCCTGCTTCCAGAACTAGCAGGGGAGAAAGGGCAGGATGAATAGGTGGCTTCATTATGTCCAAGACATTGCCTGGGCTTTTATTATTATTTTTTTTTCACAGAAAATAATTGCTTTTCTGGAGTGCAAAGGCTCCGTTCCTTCTGTGTCAAGATCTGTTAGGGTGACTGGGGGATGAAGTCACTCTTCCTACTGTTTGTAGGGCAGAAAAATCAATACTTGTGATTGGTGGCTCTGTATAACATTGAAAAGTCTCCAGCAGATTTCTCTCCCTTGGGCCCACTAAAACCCAGAAGGCTACAGGCAAGAAAGCCAATTTGTCCTCTTTTGCCTTAGGGCCATAAACATAATGAAATGATTTCTTTTGTAAAAAAAATTGGGCAAAATACTCTCTACTGATTTTTGTCTGGGTCACACCTACCTTGCTTTCCTCCTGGGCGCTGTTTCGACAGAAATTGTCATTGGAGTTTCTTTTTCTGTCTAACATTGTGTAAGTGATTACACAATTCTAAGTGGGCACAGGGAGGTGGCAGTGGCGTGGAGAGTAAGCTCGTGGGCTCTTTAACCAGACATGTGGCTTAAGAACTTGGCTAGCTAGCTCTTCGCTGTAGGCTCTTGCGTGAGTAAATTCACTTAACAATGCTTCTATTTCTTTATCTACAAAATGGGCTGGGGGGGCTAGAGAAACGCCCGGTAGTTAAGACCATTTGCTGTCCTTGCAGAGGACTTAGGTTTGGTTCCCAGATCCTGTGTTGGCTGACTCACAACTGCCTGTAACTCCAGGGGGCCCCACACCCTCTTGTAGTCTCTGAATACTGGCAAACACACGCACGTGCACGGCTAAATACAAACAAGTAAATCTAGAAAACGTATGAAGAACGTGACTTCTCATAGAATGCTTTTGTGAGGACTGATTTCTTTTCTGCAGAGCTGTTATTATTATTGGTGAGATTGCAGGAAACTAACTGAGACCATGGTTGAATCCTTTAGGATATCGGAGTTTAGTATTCAATAAATAATCACTTAGGACAGGGTAAACATACTCAACCACTCACAGCCCAAAGCCTCTACCTATTTTGCTCTTTTCACCTTCCACCAGGGGCACACCTAGTCAGACAGAGGACTCAAGAGCCTCATCAAGGTTTTGGCCCAAAGAGGCAGTCTATGCCAGCCTCCTGGAACGTACAACTCAGACACGCCACCAGTGAATGAGTGTGGCTTTCAAGCAGAGAAAGAGCAGAAGGAGGAGGTGGAGTGTTGCTTCCCTCCTTACACCCACTTTGGTTTCAGTGTCCTGAGACTGGGCACCTCTGGTGGAAATAAAGAGGGTGAGGGAGGCTGGGGCTCTGGGTTGCATGTAGTTAACGTGCGGAGAGCTAAGGAAGGACGGTCACGTCGGATAAAGGAAGTCTGAGGCAGCTGCTAGAGCCGTGGATGTGGCCAGACCACAGGAATGCTCTAGACGGTGCTTGGCCCTCGCAGGCTGCCCACCTTACATCACAGGTTGGCAAGAGGGACAAGGACCCCAGCCCATTGTCTTTTCCAAAGTGGAGGGGCTACATTTGCCTTTTGGGGCCAGTAGAATGGTTTCGAGGTGCAGAAAGGAAGCTGGAGGTTCCTAAAGCTAGTCCTCACTACAGACACCCCACCCAAACTTCACCTTCTAGAATGATTCCAATTTTTGTTTCTTTCGAGGGAAAAGACAAACAGAAAACCCCAGCTCTTTGTCTACAAGGCCCTTTTATATAGATCCAGATTTTTATGGAATCATGAGTTTCACTAAGATGTGAAAACCTGAGGCCACTGTCGACAAGAATTGTGTAAGTTAGTAAATTATGCATAAGAGGAACAGAAAAAGCACGCTTCTGGGACTGTGTGGAACAGCGGTGCTGGATGAATGAGGAGGGCTGGCTTCCTGAGTGGAGGCGTGCTGGCTGCTGGAGGAAGAAATTAGCATGCCCCCAGCTTGTTCTACTCCCAGAATGACTTTGCGCCCCATGTCAACTATATCATTTGGGTTGAATGGGTATGAAATATACTGTGGAAATCAACCAAGTCCCCAGTGGGCAGACTCCAGTTCAGCCTCTTTCACTGAAAGGAGGGAAAGTTGCCCCTCCCCATGTGTCTAACTGCTTTTTTCTGTTTCTTTTTTTCTTTCTTTCTTTCTTTTTTTTTTTTTTTTTGCCTTTTAAAATTCTGTGAATCACTTTATTTTCATTCTGGTCTTAGAACAAGGCAGAACGGTTTATTCTCTGATGAGAAATTGAAGACTGGATCCTTTAATTTGCCTTTCGCTCCCACACTTGACGTGTATGCACACACGCATGCTCACAGGCATAAACACAATCTCAGTATCCATCTCTCTCTCCTCTCCCCCAGACCCCCACTTTTGAGCATTTGAGCATTGATTCAGTTTCAAGCCAATTGTCTCTTGCTGCTGCTATTGGGAAATGTGGCTACAGGGAGACTCAAAGCAATGAGCTTCAGCTGACTGTTGACTCACTTTTGAGCAGCGTAGGCTTCGGCTGGTGGCCTGTGGGATCCGCTAATGTGCCCCGGCGGCTGCCACTGCATTGCCGAGAGCCCTTTGGGGCTGGCATACTGACACTAGGGACACTTACAGAATTCTAAATGATTGTGCACAAACAGAGACAGGAACAGGGGATAAAGACAGAACAAGTTTTAGACTAGGGAGCGGGAGGAAGGGAGATGGAGCGAGGGAAGAATCAAGCTAGAAAACACACAGCACGCGATCCCAGGCTAGATTAACACGGATGAAGAGAGTTTGGAAAAACAAAAATGGTAAGGTTCAAAATTGCCCCGAACATTGAAGATGCTCAGTTTGGCAGAAGGCGATAAGTTCATGCCTTCATGCTAGGGAGCTGTGTTTGTGTTTTGTCACTAGCAGGTTTCTACCATATATTCTTTAGAGTTCTTTTTTTCTTTTGTAGAAAAGCTGAGGAAATCCAAGCCTGTCAATTCTTTCTTGCTACTGCTATTGAGAATGGGACATCATGGAGACTCATGACTGAGCTTCAGCTGATGCTTAGCTCCTGCAGGATGATTTGAACTGCAGCTTTCTGAGCCTGTAACTGTGGCAGGGCCCCAAATCAAATGCATAAATGCGAAGGTGTCTGTCATCTCATCTAACAGAGATGTCTGGGTGCAAGGTGGACTCAGTGTGGCTGGACCTGAGGATGCTGGCATGGGTCTCACTTGCCTGGCTCCCTGCTTCCCGTCCTTCTTTCCCCTTTTCAGTCTTTCTTTCTGCATTATTGCCCTTTCTCAACCTCCCATGTCCCAGCATCCATTCTCCCTCCCTTCGTCTCCCTCATCTTTGTCTTGGCCTTTTTGTCTCTGTCCCAACTTTGCCCCCCCTCCATTCTTTTCCCCTGTCCATCTCTCTTGTCATGCTGCATGTGATTTCTCTGTGATCCCATTCTTTCTTTATTTCCCCTTTTTCCTCTTCCATCTTTGCTCCTCTATCCCCTCTGCCTGCTACTCCTACTTCCTGCCTGCTACTCCTACTTCCTGCCTGCTACTCCTACTTCCTGCCTGCTACTCCTACTTCCTGCCTGCTACTTCTACTTCCTGCCCGCACTCTCCATACTTCACAGCCTTTACTCTTCTTCCTCTCCTTGCTCACCCCACATCCCCCCACATCCCCCCACATCCCCCCACATCCCCCCACATCCCCCCACATCCCCCACATCCCCCCACATCCCCCACATCCCCTCACACAGAGTTATTCCTCTGAAGTGCTTTCCATTCTTCCTTTGGATCTAGACCTGGTTCTGAAACTCTGCTTTTTCAAGAAGCCTTTTGATATCATACTTTCTGACAACATAGACTTTAAGCGCAAGTCTCTCCATTTCCTAAGCATAATGTTGAGGAAACCAGTGTTCCTGGTCCTTTGTTTCTATGTTTTATATACCATGCAAGGAACTGCCATTAATATGAGCTGGATTTCAAAGGTACACAAGCTAGTTTGGCGGTGTGACATCTTCTGTTGTCAGCTGACATTTTACGTAGCCATTCAGTGAAGCTCCAAGAGTTTGCTTTACACCTGAGCATGCGCTGTGCCGCAGGTGCCATCCTCTGTCCACTAGAGTCTTGTAAATCCAGAGCTAAAAGAGCATTTAGGCATCATCTATTACAACCTCTTACTTTTCCAGGAAGGGAAACTGAAGCCCGAGAGGCTCCATGCATGTGCAGAGTCACACAGCTGGCTAGTGGCAGAGCTGCGGCTGGAGCCATGTCACCTGACCCCGTGTCTCATAGATATGACTCATCCTCTGGGCGGCCTTCCTCCTTTCCTAACGTTGTTTTTTGGACAAACCTAAACCTGCCAGCAAGTCTTGAAGTCTGCTCAGCTCTGCCACCCGGCTCGTAGGCAAGGCTCTGGTTTTCCAAAGGTTGAAGGTTCTCTCCCTCATGCCCCTGCCTTCAGCCCCCTCTTGATGAGGTGTAGATATTTTTTCCTGTGTCCCAGCCTCAGAAACTGTCCTATCTATAGAAAGTGCTGGTTGCACAGAGCAGGCTGGCGCAGCTGAATGAGGGGTGATAAAGACATAGGTAATTGCTGCAGAATAATACTGCTGCCAACAAGATGATTGAACTCCCACACAGAAGGTGAACAGATGGTATATTTATTGAAATTCATAGGCTGTGAGATGGAATAATTTAACTGATGGCTGGGTCCCCTCATCTCAGATGGAGGGAGGCTCGTGAAAGAGCGAGTGTGCCACTAGGTGGCACGATGCTCTCAGGCCCAAGGCTCCTCTTGTCATAGAGGAAGCCCAGGTTCTGGGGACACTGAAGAATCAGTTCAGTTCATTTCCTGATTGAGGCTATAAAACCATCTCTGTGGATAAAGGGGAAACCACTATGTTTTTAAAATTTAAAGTATTTTTAAAAGGACGTTTGCATAAAGAAAAAACCATTCAAATAACATGGCATCAAATCAATCAGGAGACAGGCCATAGCATGCTGGGAGTGGGGGTGGGGCAGTGGCTTGTCTAGGAGGAGCTGTGGGTCCAATACTCTTTCATATCATTGCTCCAACTGGATATACCTTCTTTTATTTTCTTTCAATTTTTTTCCTCTTGACATCTTGCCTTGTAGTCTAGGCTAGCCTAAAGCTTACTATGCAGCATAGGGTGGCCCCAGACTCACATTGCCCCCACCCCCATCCTTTTGAGTAGCTGGGAACAGGCTGGTGGCATCAGACCAGGTCCTTGATGACATTCCTTCCCTATGGGCTGCCTCCCTTTCAGCGTTGCTGGCCTAGTGTAGCCTAGGATGGACACTGGTTCTAGAAAGCTCATCTTGAAAGCTTTGAGAAGAGTGTGCAAGCCCACTGGGAAGCCCTGTGCCAAGAGAGAAGAACTGACAAGGAAAAGTAGGTCGATGACAACCTAGTGTGTTCCCCTCTCCCAGGACCTTTTTATCTTTCGGCCTCTGTTGTCTTATGCATTTTTAAGGTTCCTCCTCTGCTTTCCAGATTCTGAATATACCCACAAGCCTTCGGGAACTGTGGGATTCTCCCAACTTACTGACTTAAGTGTGGGAGCCACTTCTTATTTTGGGTTCACAAATGTGCCCATCTGTGCAATCAGAAGTATTCATTAAATTCCTTTCTTGTTCCTGCAGGTTTGATGTGTGCGCCTAAATGTTCTTATCCTTAAGACGGGGATATAGTCCTCTACTGTAGGATTGTTTATAAAGCTTAAGTCGACAATTTTATGTAAAATGTTTGGAACAAAGTCTGACAAATAGAAAGTACTCAAAGAATACTAGCTTCAGTCTACTGTGAGGACCACAGCCAGCATGCATTGTCCCACTGTATCCTATGACTATCGCCACTGCTTCTAAAGAGCCATTATGTTACATTGTTACTTTAGCACTGCTACTGCTGACTCCATTTGAATTTTTGGGTATTTATTTGCACTGAATGTAAAAAAAAATTTAATCTTACCACTTTAAAATAAGTCCCCTTTCCTCTTCATTTTCTTAGGTATTAGCAAATTTGGAAAATTTTCCTTCTCAAAAGAATAAGTTAATCTGAAGCTTTGTTTCTGATCTTGCAGTGCAGATGGGGATAATGTAGCTGGCTACTATCCTATCTGCCCTGAGATACCTTGTCCTTACTTTAGATTGCTCTTTGTCCTCTGTCCTGTACATCTCGGAGATATCCAGCCATTGGGCCCGGTGGGATCCTCTAGTGTCTAGCTCTGTGATGCTCAGCTAGGTCTTCCAAATTTAACCCCTTATTCATAGTGACTCAGACATTTGTTACATCATCATTTTGTGTCTCCCCTACAATTGTTTGTGCCATGGTTTGACAGACCTGTCCAAGAAGTAGGTTTGCATCTACCAACCTCTCCACAAACGCCCCAACAATGTCTTCCTTCTTGCTGTTAGGATGGCTTTTTACATCATTAAAGGATAGGAACTTTTCAGCTCCACATGACCTTATAGAACCATTGTAGTATATGGTCTGTGGTGACTGAACATGACTGGTCCATGACGAGTTGCTTTATGGTGTTTAGATATTCATCTTGTATATTTGTATTATTTGCAAGGAACTATGTAAACTCCAGCTCCTCATCCATATCACATACACAAAGAGGTAGATTAATACATCTTTCCCTTCTGTCTCACTTGGGATGCAGGTGTTTGCAAGAACGGAGATTTGTATTCCAGTCTCTGATGACCAAAGGGGTAGGTTAATAAATCATGAATTGTGCCAAACCCAGTCCCTCACCTGCTTTGTGTCTGACTTTAGAGCAAAGAATAACTTTTATACTTTTACCTTGTTGAAAAAGAACTGAAGGAAGGCTGTTTCATGACACGTGAGCATTATGTGGAAATAAAATTTCGTGTCTATAAATAAAGTTTTATTGGAATGCAGCCATGCCCATTCGTTTACGTATTGTCTGTGGCTGCTTTCTGAGCTCACTGGCAGAACCGAGTAGCAGCAACAGACACCATATGGCTTGCAAAGCTGAAAATATTTACTAGTTGACCCTCGGTAGAAAAAGTTTACTTACCTCCTCCTTAGGGCGTGGATACAAAGGGAGGCGAAGAGGAGTCGCAGAGTGCTTGCTGTGTTTGGAGTTCTCTTCCCCTGCGTACAGGCAGGAGCTAACAGCCGCACGGGGCAGGAGTCCGTCTTCAGGAGAACAGGCAGGGAAGCTGTGCCTTCACCAGCCAGCACTTGATGTTGATAAGGGTTCCACCCCTCATCCGTGGTTCTTGATGCCTGCTATTGTTTCACGCCACCTGCATAACCTAATTTGCATCTTACACGGCGATCTAGCTACCACTTGGACTCTGTCGGAAATAAGGAGAATGGCTTCTATGAAGCCATCTGTAGATGGAAAAAATTAACAGCAAATAAATTCTCAATCCTGGAGTGTGGTATTGAGGGAGCTGGTGGATGGCAAAAGAGCGCAGAGCTGATTTGTTCCCCAAGTCAAGACACCACTGAGGACCATCCAGGACCTACTAGACAGGGAGGCTGGCAAAGACAGATAAATCCTTGAACTCATAGGCACACTGGGATGGGGACTGGTGTTAGCCTCAGGAAGCTTCACTTTCTGAAGTCTCCTGTCCTCCTTTAGGCCTGCTGGGCTTTCTTGAAAGTCCAGACCCCACCTGTGTTGGGGCTGCCTTTGAGGTCCAGTGACGTTTCCAAGTACATCTCCACTAGAGAAGATGTCTGAAGCTCTGCTCTGTATCGGTGTCCATCTGCCGCAACAATGTCAGACACTGACAGCATGATTGATGTTGTCATCTTTGTCCTTTCTCTGTCCACCCCATCTACTGGTTACCCCCCAGAGGAGCTGTCAGAAGAAAATGCTCCTGTGCCTTGCTTCTAAGAGCAGCCTAGAAGAATGCCAGGAAAACAGACGTGAGCGTGGCTCGTCAGAACAGTTCCCAGCACAGGTTGATTAGCCCACATCGTGCTTAAGGGCCAGATGGTTTCAATTTCAGGATCCTTGAGTCTGGGGACATTTGAATATACCACTGATTAAGCACCCTCAATGAGAAAGTCTTTTGAATTTCAGAGTCTTTCAGGTTTGGGGTTTTCAGATGAGGGGTGCCGAAGCTGCATGTGGGGTTCTTCTCAGTCATTCCCTATGCCCACTTCTAGTCTCCTGAGTAGATACAGATACAGAGCAGAAAACAGGAGACTAGCAAGGGAAGAACCCGAGAAGTCCCCACCCACTTCTGTGTTCCCTGACTTCTGAAGCCAAGACCTGGAGTGACTGGGATCTAGTTCTCTCCACCTGTTCCATCTAGGACCTTGGGAATGGAAAGGATCCAAGCATAGCATCCTGTATGAGGTTGAAGAAGGCAGCAGACCTCATGAAAGAAACTTAGTTGTTACCATGGTGTTGCGTGTAGAATCAGCAGCTTGGAGTGGCCAAAGATCTCTGTGTGACTAGTTCATATGCTAACACTTTAAGAACGCCTATGTTTCCTTGTAATTGGAGGATCAAACACCTTGATTGGATATTCTAGACCTGAAAGGGTCTTTCACTGGTTCAGGAGGATGTGTTGGAAAGATGTGTTTATGCTTACAGAGGGCCAACACCTAGCTCCAGGGAGCCTTTCAAGAAAGAACCACCTATTGTCAGGGAATGGGACAGGAAAAACATTCTGAGGAGGCAAGAACAGCAAAGTAGACAATTTAATACCTAACTAAGGTTTATTTTTCATATTGGACAGAATAGAGCTGAAAGTTAGAAAAATATATTCAATTATAAGAAATAAGTTATAGTTTTTGCATACCAGACTTTGGCATTATAGTATTTCTATATGCTTAAGCCACATTTATTAAATACTGGGCACTGAGTGCTGTGCAAATGATTTCTATGCATTTTTACATTTAATATTCTTTTAATAATGTTGTGAAACAGGTGTTACTAATCCCTTTCTGCAGAGGAAGCCTGAGGTCTTCTGAGATGCTCTCATTAATTTAAGATGACCTCATCAGAAGGGTACAGCTGGGCTTCCGGTCCAGGCACTTTGACTCCGTGGGCCTACTCTACACACCCACTGTCTGTTTTCTTAGGCTAGTTCACTAGAAGGTCCTTTGCCATAGTTGCTAGTGGGGCAAATCATTCTTTTGCCAATAAAAACCCTTTCTGGGTCTCTTTTCACGCCAGGTGTTCTGCTAGGCAAGGGATACCAAAGGAATACCATTCACCTCCCCCCAGGGATGTAGCAATCTGCCTACATTTGTTTCTAACACATGGAAGGTGCTCAGTATGGGCTCGCGGACCGAATAAATTTTGAAAGGCACAAAGCTTCCGTAAGGGGAAGTATGCCTTTGTCTATTTCAGGTGTAACACTGGGAACATTGCAACCACTCTCACAGGGAACTTGAAAGAGTCAGGAGACCGGGCTGGTGAACAAGAGATCCCACTGGAGAATGGATTTTACTGTAAGCAGTGCTGGAAGGCCTGCTGGGTGGAAGCCTCATCCCAGGGGAATGAAATCCAAAAGGGGCTTCTGGGCTCAGCGCAGAGGGATGGATGGGCTCGTTTGAGAAGGTTCTTTTATTCTTAACATCAGTGGTAAGATGCTGATGAGTCCCCCCAGGGTGAAACTGTGTTTAGAAGGGAGAACTCATTTCCCCCCAAAGTGCTCTTTCTAGATGTCTATAAAGCTAAAGGAAAAAGGATTACTAAAATGATTGACATAAGTACAAAATCTGGGTCACATTTCCACTTCTATTACCACAGACCACACACTCTGTTGAATACAAGATATGCAACTAGGTTTCAAGTGAAAAAGAAAGAGCTGGTTCTGGAATCATATCCCCAGCTGACCATAGGCTGTGGCTTCTGTTGGCAGGCAGTGAGTGTCAGCCTTTAAGTTTCTGCAGCTTTCTCGTTGGCACCTATAGTCTGAATGCAAATGGCAAGTTCATTATTGCTTGGATCTAGGGCAGTAGAGATCTTGGTGGCTTGTAATAAGCATTGTCTGTCTGTCTTTTGAGACAGGGTCTTACTATTTAGCTTTGCTTGGCTTGGAATTCTCTATGTAGATTAGGTTAGCCTTGAGCTGATAGAGATCCACCTGCCTCTGCCTCCTGATTTCAGGGACTAAGAATGTGTGCCACCATACCTGATTTGCTACTGTTAATTTAGATGCAAAGAGAGTTTTCTGGAGTCACTGTGCAGAGAGGGCAGGGACTGAGTGATACCCCCCACCCCCCCTTCTTACATTGTTAGTACTTCCAAGTTCCAGGTGAGAAAACAACCAAGGGAAGGTAAGTTGCCCAAGTTCAAAGAGCTAGTAATGAGTGACTGGTGTGGAACTTGGTGGCAGTTGGAGCCCTTGACTAGTCTCGATTGTCTTCATGTTTCTCCACCCCTGGCCACACATCATACTTCTGTCCCATCTCTGAATGATTTAATTTCTCCACCATCCTCATGCTTTGGTTAAGTCCCATACAGTCAGTTTGAGCCACGTATTAGCTGGTTCCCTTTCTTGAAGAGTGTCAGCATTCGGCCACTAGAGACAGCATCATAAAGTGAGATACCATCGTCTTGCTAATCTGCTTATATTCATTCAATGGCTTCTTGTTACCTACAGTGCCAAGATAATTTGAGTCTAACTTTACTTTCCAGTTGCTTCATCCTCTTCTGGCATTTCTTTTCACAGTCAGTCATCTGTTGCCATCCATCCTCCGTAGAAAGCTCAGGAAAATACTCAGGACACACAAAGTGCTTTGCAGTGTGACAGTTCCACCAACTACTTGCCATTGTCTCGATAGGCATCATTTTTTTTTATCCTTGGCACAGTCTAGAAGATCTTTTTGTGTTGACTCTCCCATGTTCATGATACAATCTGTTTGTGTGTTCTAAGGTCATATGCATATAGCATCCCTTTGGGAAGCTGTAGGCTGAGGCTGCTTGTTTGTGCCTGGCTGGCTGCTCAGACCCAAAATAACCACACAGAATTTATATTAATTAAAATACTGCTCAGTCTATTAGCTTAGGCTTCTTATTAGCTAACTCTTACATCTTAAATTAACACATTTCCATTATTTTGTTTTACCATGAGGCTCATGGTTTACAGGTAAGGTTTAAGGCATCTGTCTCCTTTAGCAGATACATGGTGTCTTTCTGACTCTTGTCTTCTTTTCTCCTCTATCTCTGCTTAGAATTCCTGCCTTGCTCTATTCTACATTGCAATAGGCACAAAGCAGCTTCTTCCTTCCTTCCTTCCTTCCTTCCTTCCTTCCTTCCTTCCTTCCTTCCTTTCTTTTTTTGATTTTTATTGTGCTTTACATTTTCCTCTGCTCCCCTCCTTGCCTCTCCCCTTCCCTTCAACCCTCTCCCAAGGTCCCCATGCTCCCAATTTACTCAGGAGATCTCGTCTTTTTCTATTTCCCATGTAGATTAGATCTATGTATGTCTCTCTCAGGGTCCTCATTGTTGTCTAGGTTCTCTGGGATTGTGATTTGTAGGCTGGTTTTCTTTGTTTTATGTTTAAAAAACACCAATGAGTGAGTACATGTGATACTTGTCTTTCTGGGTTTGGGTTACCTCACTCAAAATAATGTTTTCTAGTTCCATCCATTTGTCTGCAAAATTCAAGATGTCGTTATTTTTTCTGTTATGTAGTACTTCGTTGTGTAAATGTACCACATCTCCCTTATCTATTCTTCAATCGAAGAACATTTAGGTTGTTTCCAGGTTCTGGCTATGACAAACAATTCTGCTATAAACATAGTTGAGCACATGTCCTTGTGGTACGATTGATCATCCTTTGGATATATACCCAAGAATGGTATTACTTGGTCTTGAGGAAGGTTGTTTCCTAATTTTCTAAGAAATTGCCACACTGATATCCAAAGAGGGTGTATTAGCTTGCACTCCCACCAGCAATGCAGAAGTGTTCCCTTTCCCCCACAACCTCTCCAGCATAAGTTGTTATCAGTGTTTTTGATCTTGGCCATTCTTACAGATAGAATCTCAGAGTTGTTTTGATTTGCATTTCTCTGATGACTAAGAGAAATGTTGAGCATTTCCTTAAGTGTCTTTCAGCCATTTTATATTCCTCTGTTGAGAGTTCTCTATTTAGGTCTGTACTCGAAATTTTTTATTGGATTATTTTTTTTTGATGACACATTTCTTGAGCTCTTTGTATATTTTGGAGATCAGACCTCTGT